ATCTTATAAGCTGCAAAATCTCAAAATGTCACCCGCCCGGGCACCCCGGGAGAGGCGGTGGGTACCACCCAAAGCACCCCCTCAGAACACCCGGAATTTGAGGCTGCACCCCAGCCGCTATGCCAAAACGCTGAACAGGGCTGTGTTCCGCGGCTGCCCACCAGGGAAAATCAGTAAATTCAAGAAAAAGTGCAGCCGCACAGACCTGCTGTATCGCCGGAGCCCGGCGTCGCGACCGCCTGCATTGTTTCCCGAACACTCGAGGCTTTGGAGAGAACCGTGGGCCGGAGGGCAACCAGGCCCAGCCTCTTTACACACTCTCGGCACAAGCCCGAATCACCCCAACGCCGAGCCACCAAGAGCCACGGGGACGCCATGAACCTCAGGATCACCTCACGTCTCAGGGACATCTTGAGCCCCTGAGACGACCTGAACTCTGGGCCATCTCTGTCCACCACGCCAAATTTCCCACCGGCGCGCTGAGCAATCGGCGGCAGATGGCCGATACTCAGAGGCCGCCCACCGACGTGCCCCGGCCGATGAGTAGCCAATCCTGCCGCCCCTGAATGGCCGCCTAAGTGGGTGCCGTCCAGACTCTGACAGAACTTGAGGCCCAAGTTAGTGGGCCAGTTGAGGCGAGGTCACCTTACCCTGTTCCTCGGTCCCCTCAGACATTGTGAGACGGCGGGGTCTAGCTCTGAGGCCCACGACCTGAGGCCTATGTCTGCGCCGCGACTGTGTGGTCACTCCTTGGTAACTGCGTGGTAACTGCGTACACTCGTTGTCCGAGGCACAATGAGGCGCGGGCAGGAGCCTGGACCACGTCTCTGCGGCTGCGCAGTAGCACGTGACTCCTGGGGGGTCAAAGAGCCTCGCCCCCCCCACTTTCGACCTATTTTCTTAAAGTGTCCTGTTTACAAAAATATATACATGTATGTGTATATGTATATATTTGTACTATATATGTGTGTGAATATATGTAGATATAGATACAGATGGAGAGAGAGAGAGAGAGAGAGATAATGAACTGGAAGCCAACAGTGTAATTCTGCTCGTCCCAAAAAGCACATCATAAAAAAAAAAAAAGTCCAATGTAAGAGAATTGCGTTCAGACTTTCTAGTGTTTTCCGGGTTGCTTCCTCACATCCGGTGCCGGCTTTGGGAACAAATCCGAAAACAAGCCGACTTTGAAAATGTGCCCCTAATAAATACCTAGCAACCCCTCCCCTCCCCTCCTTCCTGCCCCCTCTAGTAGTCTATAGCCTATTGTTCCCATCTTTCTGTCCCTGTGTACCGGATATTTAAGCTCCTACTTACAAGTGAGAAGATTCAGTATGTGGTTTTCTGTTTCTGTGTTAATTCACTTAGGAGAAAGGCCTTCAGCTGTGTACGTGCTGCTGCAAAGGACATGGTTTTGTTCTTTGTCACGACTGCATAGTTTTCTTGATTCGGTCCACCACTGATGGACACCTGGATTGATTCCATGTCTTTACTATTGTCTTCACACCTTTCAAAACCTGTCTCGGTACTACATCTGTTCGAATAATACCTCCATCAAGACACTTTCCGATAGCCCCCTGGTAAGAAGGATCCCACAGCAGGTAATCTTCACGTCCCTATTAGTATTTAAATTACTTTACCTGATATTATAAATCCTCGTCAACATGCCTCTCTCCTAAGTTCCTGGAGGACAGCACCATGTCTTATTTATATTTGAACACCACCTCCCTCACAAGATTCTAAGAATTAAATGTTATAAAATATAAGGAACCTGGTGCCTGGAATTTGGGATCCATTTCTTCACTGTGTCAGTTATACAATGACTCTTGGGACTGTGGGTCTCTTCATTTGGGGGAAGGGTGAGAATTTCTTTACTTGTGAGAAGCAAAGGTGTATATTGTTAGGTAGAAACACAGAGTTGTTTTGCTATCGTACCAGAGTGTACATATGTGTAGGAGGATGCATAGAGAAACCGAGGGCTGAAATGGATACACTGTGCTGGTTACCAATGTGTTACCTCTCACCTCCAACTTCACCCACTTTTGCCGACTCTGTGAAAGTGGATGTGGGCCCTTTAAATATTTTTCCCTTTGCCAGTAACACAGTTTAAACCTTTGGCAGTAGAAGGTGCTAAAAGGAGACCGTAGGAGGAGAAGGTTTTTTTTTGCCTCCTGGTTGACCTGTGCTCTCTGAGGACATTGATGCAAAGTGTAGCTTTCTCCTGCAGGAGAAGGCAGATTTCCAGTACTTTATAGAGGATATATTTCCAGCAAATTCATCAAGTTGCAAGGTTGGGTTTCCAGCAAATTCCAGAGAATAGATTTACGGTGAAGTCCACCAGTGCAAGCCATTGAGTGAGTCTTAGACACTGTGTCTCAACCCTAAGGGTAGTGCCTGTTTCTTATAGCTGTAATTTGTAAAGAATATTTTAGAATTTTATTATTAGCTAATCTCTCATTACTCCAGTCCTCTTTTACACTTAATAATTTTTTCTTTCTTTTTTTTTTTTTTTTTTTTTCTGAGACAGGGTCTGGCTCTGTCATCCAGGCTGGAGTGCAGTGACTCGATCATGGCTCACTGCAGCCTGGATCTCCCAGGTTCAAGCAATCCTCCCACCTCAGCCTCCTGAGTAGCTGCGACTACAGGCATGCACCACCATGCCCAGTTAATTTTAAACTTTTTTGTTGAGATGGGGGTCTCCCTTTGTTGCCCAGGCTGGTCTCAAACTCCTGGGCTCAAGTGATCCTCTCGCCTCAGCCTCCCAAAGTGTTGGGATTACAGACATGAGACACCACACCCAACCAATAATTCTTTACATTACACTTTCCCTGTTCAAATTACCACATGGTATTTCTCTTCATATTGGACCTGGAGGGATGCACCCACCTTTTGGGATTTCCTTCTAGCACACAGTACTCAATAGGTACACAAGGTTTGTTCATGGACTGTAATTGAATAGCCAACAGATACTCAGTAATCCCCTTCAGTTTAACTTCTGGTCAGTCCTCTCCATTCATTTGCCTGACGCCTCTTCTCCACAGAGAGAGGTGGGAGGGAGGGAAGAAACACTTTCCTATTGTCACGCCTAAGACTGACTTTCCATTTCCTGTCCTACCTAAGCTACGTTAACCTGAGCAGGAAGAACAGCAGGCAAGGGAGGCTTCCCAGCCACGGGAGAAGTGGGAGGAGATGCTGCAAAGCTGTCTGTTCCCAGGTGCAAGCTGGACCACAGGAGCTACAGAGCAGGTATTTCTGTCAACAGCCAGTACAGTCACAGCAATGTGGAGTTCCGCAGCCTGTAATTGTGGACTGGTAAACATCTTCTGAAAGACAACTAAAAAAAAAAAAAACTGGATGCAATGTTTTTTAAATATTATAGCATTAGGCCGGGCGCGGTGGCTAAAGCCTGTAATCCCAGCACTTTGGGAGGCCGAGGCAGGTGGATCACGAGGTCGGGAGTTCAAGACCAGCCTGGCCAAGATGGTGAAACCCGGTCTCTACTAAAAATACAAAAATTAGCCAGGCGTGGCAGCGGGTGCCTGTAGTCCCAGCTACTCGGGAGGCTGAGGCAGGGAATTGCTTGAACCTGGGAGGTGGAGGTGGCAGTGAGCCAAGATTGTGAAACGGCACTCCAGCCTGGGTGACAGAGCAAGACTCTGTCTATACACACACACACACACACACACACACACCATTAAAGAATATCATAAAGTTAACAATTTCTGAGCTAAGATCTGAGAAAGACCCAAAACCTAGATAGGTGTGAGAAACTGAGAGCATTGCTTTTGTTCTTGGACATTTGCTGATGCAGAGGAGGCCAAAGGAGGCTGAGCTACACGTTGGGTGGTTTTGTGGAACTGAGGGACAAAAGTTGGAATCTGGGACCCACCAAAGCAGAGTTTGTAAACCACCTCCCACCTCAAACTGGGACCACAAAGAGACAAATCTTTAGAGTAAAAGTAACCAAAAACTAACCATGTGGTCTCTAGATCAGCCTCATGTCACCTGCTAATTTAGCACTCCCAGGTGCCTGCATAAAGCAAGCAAATATTCTCTCTTGCAAAGGTAATGGTAACTTATTTCTACAAAGAATTATTTATTTTATTTATTTATTTTCAAAGATATTATTTTTAAAATGTTTTTTATTTCAATAGCTTTTGGGGTACAAGTGGTTTTTTGTTACAGGGATGAAATATATAGTGGTAAATTCTGAGATGTTACTGCATCCATCACCCAAGTAGTGTACACTGTACCCAATCTACAGAGTCTCACTCTGTCACCCAGGTTGGAGTACAGTAGCACAATATCGGCTCACTGCAACCTCTGCCTCCCGGGTTCAAGCGACTCTCCTGCCTCAGTCTCCCAAGCAGCTGGGACTACAGGTTACAGGACTACCACGTTTGCCTTTTTTTTTTTTTTTCAGTAGAGACAGGGTTTCACTATGTTGGCCAGGCTGGTTTCGAACTCCTAACCTCTGGTGATCTGCCTGCCTCAGCATCCCAAAGTGCTGGGATTACAGGTGTGAGCCACTGCAGTTTTTTTAATTCCACACCATCCTCCCACTCTCCTTCTTCTGAGTGTCCAATGTCCATTATGCCGCTCTGCATGCCTTTGTATACCCATAGCTTAGCTCCCACTTGTAAGTGAGAACACGCAGTAAGTGGTTTTCCATTCCTGAGTTACTTCACTTACAATAACGGCCTCCAGCGCTGTCCAAGTTGCCACAAAAGACAATATTTCATTCCTTTTTATGGCTGAGTAGTATTCCATGGTGTATATATACCACGTTTTCTTTATCCACTCATCGGTCAGTGGGCACTTAGGTTGGTTCCATATCTTTGTAATTGTGAATTGGGCTGTAATAAATCTACGTGTGGCAGGTGAATCACTTCAGGTCAGGAGTTCAAGATCAGTCTGGCCAACATGGTGAAACTCCGTCTCTACCAAAAATACAAAAAAAAAACAAAAAAATTAGCCAGGCATGGTGGCAGGCACCTGTAATCCAAGCTAGGGGCAGGGGCAGGTTCCTAGCATCAACCTGGTTGATTTGCAGGGGAAGCAAGCAGGCCATGCAAGAAGAGAGGGAGAGTTGACTTAAATGCAGCCCACAGGACACGAGACGGGACAATATGGCCACAGAGCAGTGTCCAGCTGCCCAAGGCGCCACTCTCCACTTGTTTCCACTCCACTCCATTCAAACTCCTGCCACCCGGGGGGGTTCCATCTCACCAGGCACAGTGGTCATCACCCCTGGCTTGGAGCCCCGGACACAGCTCCGGTGGCCTGGCCAAGGCGTGCAATGCCATGCTTTCATGAGGCCCTGAGAGCCTGCTGCTTTGCTGACCCCAGTGTCTGCAGTGGGTTTTTGGCCCTAAGGGCAGGTTTGACAAAGGAGTGTGTATTAGTCAGGGTTCTCCAGAGGGACAGAACTAATAGGATAGATGTATATATAAAGGGGAGTTTATTAAGGAGGATTGACTTACACGATCACAAGGTAAAGTCCCACAATAGACCATCTGCAAGCTGAGGAGCAAGGAAGCCAGTCCGAGTCCCAAAAGCTCAAAAGTAGGGAAGCTGACAGTGCAGCCTTCAGTCTGTGGTCGAAGGTCCAAGAATCCAAAAGCTGAAGAACTTGGAGTCTGATGTTTGAGGGAAGGAAGCATCCAGCATGGGAG